AGTAATACTGAGCTTATGAGTAATACTGGTCTGTAATTATGATGACCTCATAAAATGTGTTAGGAAATGCTCCCTCCCTCAATCTCTGTTTTCTGATTCTTTGTCATTAGTATTATTTCTGCCTTAAATGATTGAAAGAATTCACCAGTAAAATAATTAAGGCCTGTAGTTTTTTTTTTTCAAGGATTTTTTCTTTAAAGAAAATTCCTTTTATATATAAAAAGCTTTTCACTTCCTTTTCTTTTGTGTCAAATTTGATAAATCCTGGTTCTGAATTGTGGCTCTGAATTGTTAAATGTATTGGTGTAAAGTGTTTCGTATCTCTCTATTGTTTTAACGTCTATAGCATCTTTATTAACATTTATATTAATTAGTATTTCTCATTTTTTCTTGTTCATCTTTCAAAAAGTTTGTTAATCTGTTCAAAAAACCCAGTTTTGACTTTAATTTTTTAAATTTATTTTTATTTTTTACTTCTGCACTGCCCTTTATTATTAAATTTTCTTAACTTTGGGTTTTACTACTCTCCTTTTTCTAGATTCTTTATCTAGGAACTTAGATTTTTGTTTTCAAACAATTTACCTTCTATAATATATGCGTTTCAAGTAAGGGTTCCTTTAAGCACTGTATTACTGGATCCCACAAATTTATCCATGCTGTCCTAATATGTGTGTGTGTGTGTGTGTGTGTGTAGTGATAAATATGTATGTTTTTAATTTATATATACATATATATAATCCCAATATATATAGTTTTTTGTATTATACTTGGTTTTCTCCAGTGTGTTTTTAGATTTATTCCTTTATAAAATTTTTAGTGCTGTTCAGGAATTATAATATTCATTCTTTAACTTCTCATTGTCTACTTGAAATTAATACTGCACTAGTTTATGTGAAATGTATGAACCTCATAACAGGCTAACTCTATCTCCTATCCTTTGCGCTATCATTGTTATATATTTTATTTTTATATGCACTATAGATCTCACAATAAATATTAATTTTTTGAATAAAGATAATCCTTTTTATTTACTCAAATATTGACCAATTCTGGGGTGCTCTTAATCCTTTTTTAAATTATAAGTTTCTATGTAATAATATTTGACTTTAGCTTCAAGAATTCCCTTTATCATTTCTTATTAGTGCAGGTATGCTGGGAACAAATTTTATCAGCTATTATTTAACTGTGTCTTCAATTCACTGTCATTACTGAAGGAGAGAGTTCTGGCTTTACATTATCTTTTTTCACCACTGTAAATATGCTATTTCATAGACTCCTGGCTGCCATTATATCTAATGGGAGTTAGCCTCATTCATATCATTATTCATTTGCATATATGTTTTTATTTCTGACCACTTTTTAAATTTCTGTTTATCTTTTGTATTCAGCAGTATAACTATTACATGCTTAGATGTGATGTTCTTTGTTTGCTGAGCATTCTGTTGAGATCAAGCAAGACTATGTAATGAGAGTAAGAATATATACCTTAACCATGACTTAGGACAAAGAAAATAAAACATTATATTCCTATTTTAAACAAGACAAAACTTAAGAGATTCAATAGGTTATACTAGCAATTTAACCAGCTGCCGGAACAAAATTCAGCACCTTTCTAACTAGCCTAGACCACTACCCTCTCCCAGCCATTCATGGCCTCTGGGATTTCTGTACAGCAATTGGGCCTGCAGCATTTGCTCTCTGCTGGGCCTGACAGTCTCCCCTCGCACATGCAGAGCAATTTTCTGCTAGGGTGTTCCAGGGAAACTGTGCCATTTTCTGAGACAACCATCCACATGACTCCCTCTTCTCTTGCATTCTGCTCCACAAGCCCCAAAGCAATCCCAAGCTGCATTCTCTGTTTTCCATCCTCAGCCCAGTGCCTCAGAGAGGCACCTGCTCTCTACTCACGCTCTGTTTTCCTACTGTTAGATTGGGAAAGTACTACCAGGCAGAAACTAGGGCAAAATGAGTCATAACTCTTAAATTTTCATCCTCTCTAATATCACAGTCATCTGACTCTGCCTAACGTATGAAAACAACTGCCTTGTATTTTATTCAGTTTTGTACTTACTTACAACTTGCTTAGGGTAAGTTCAATACCAATTATTGCATTATGGCCAGAAATGGAAGCTCTTTTTTTGTTGGACTCCTCAAATTATTTGTAATGTGTAGCTAAGCTAGAGAACCACCATGTTACAGCTCCTGAATGGTGGAGAGGCGAGAATACTAACACACTTGTCAGCTGGGAACCCCCGGATTGGAGACCTGGGCAGGGAGAAAGGTTATCAGAGGAGATCCCAATAGAACAGCACCCAGTTTTTCCTTCCTAGAAGTCTTTTTTCAGGAGATAAATTCATGAGACTGCATAGTACAGTGCATACTATTTCAGAGTAAATAGCTTAAATTTTAGTTCCAGCACAGCTGATAGCTATTGGATGCACATCGTTGTTTAGCTTGTTTTTCTTCATGCACAGAGAGAATTGTATATAGAATGCCTACATTTTATTCTGTCATCTAGAGTCTGAGAACCACAGATATGATGCTATCTAATGATTTCTACAACCATGTGACACCAGTCATTATAAATCAACTATTATGAAAAGAAAAAAAAACTCATGGAATGGACTCATGCCTTTAAAAAAAGTGATAAAGTGTATGTTAAATGGGTCTGTAAGAGGCTACAGAAGTTTTAATGTATTGTCAAGAACTCTTTGCTAAATTTCAAGATTTTTCAAAGCAGGACACTTGCTGAATCCCAAGTAATTGAGATAATCTGATATTTTAAAGGCCTATTTTCTACTCTCAAATCTGCTCTATTGTTAAGAGAACCAGTGAGTCCATTTTTATTTGATTATAGCAAGGGAAACCATGGGCAATGAAGAAAAGGGGCATGCACAAAATGACTATTAAACTTTAAACAAATTAATTATTTTGAAAACGTGCACAGGAGAAGACTTACACTTTGCATGCATGCACCTACATACTTTCTTACCAAGTGTGCATGTTAAAAAAATAAACTTTTCTTTTTTTCTTCTGATTTCTATTTCTCAAGTCACATAGGAGCTGATAATTGAATTATTCTCATAGGCATTAAAACTGGTTCTTGGGCTAAATTTTCTGAGAGGTATAATTTATTTCCAAGTAGAGAATAGCCAGAAACCCTAGCTAGATAAAATTTGTGGTATATGTTGAACTGTAAAACTAAGACATATGTGTCTTTTAAGGCAAGACTTTGATGACAAAAGTAAGACTGTAACAGAAAGTTTAAGCTGGGGTTCTGTGCATCCTTGTCTCTTAAAATTCCCAATTTCAGAAAGGTGAAACTGGACCCCTTCCTTATACCCTACACTAAAATTAACTACAGATGGATTAAAGATTTAAACATAAGACCTAACACCATAAAAACCCTAGAAGAAAACCTAGGCAAAACCATTCAGGACATAGGCATAGGCAAGGACTTCATGACTAAAACACCAAAAACAATGGCAACAAAAGCCAAAATAGACAAATGGGATCTAATTAAACTTAAGAGTTTCTGCACAGCAAAAGAGACAATCATTAGAATGAACCGGCAACCAACAGAATGGGAAAAAATTTTTGCAATCTACTCATCTGGCAAAGGGCTAGTATCCAGAATTTACAAAGAACTAAAGCAGATTTATAAGAAAAAAAAACAAACAAACCTATGCAAAAGTGGACAAAGGATATGAACAGACACTTTTCAAAAGAAGACATTTATGAGGCCAACAAACATATGAAAAAATGCTCATCATCACTGGTCATTAGAGAAATGCAAATCAAAACTACATTGAGATACCATCTCACACCAGTTAGGATGGCCATCATTAAAAAATCTGGAGACAACAGATGCTGGAGAGGATTTAGAGAAAAAGGAGCACTTTTACACTGTTGCTGGAAGTGTAAATTAGTTCAACCATTGTGGAAGACAGCGTGGCAATTCCTCAAGGATCTAGAAATAGAAATTCCATTTGATCCAGCAATCCCATTACTGGGTATATACCCAAAGGATTATAAATTGTTCTGTTATGAAGACACATGCACAGGTATGTTCATCGTGGCACTGTTTACAAAAGCAAAGACCTGGAACCAACCCAAATGCCCATCAATGATAGACTGGACAAAGAAAATGTGGCACATATACACCATGGAATACTATGCAACCTTAAGAAAACAATGAGTCCATTTCCTTTGTAGGGACATGGATGAATCTGGAAACCATCATTCTCAGCAAACTGACACAAGAACAGAAAACCAAATACTGCATGTTCTCACTCATAGGCAGGTGTTGAACAATAAGAACACATGGGAACAGGGAGGAGAGCATCACACACTGGGGTCTTTTGCAAGGTGGGGGGCTAGGGGAGGGACAGTGGGGGCAGGGAGGTTGGAAGGGATAACACTGGGAGAAATGCCTGATGTAGGTGATGGGGGGATGGAGACAACAAATGAAAATGGCATGTGTATAACTATGTAACAGTCCCGCAAGATCTGCACAGGTACCCCAGAACTTATAGTACAATTTAAAAAGTCCTGATTTCCAGCCTCCTCTTATAATAGCATAAATAACAGACTTCCCATCTTCATCAGTCCTGCTTGGACTCTGATTTTGCTTTTGCTCACATTGTGTTTCCTATATCAGTAAGAAACTCATTAAAAGTGCTCCAGACAAATTCAACTGCGTTTTCATGGCTTTCAAGAATGAAAGCAAGACAACATAAAAGGAAATAGTTTTGAAAATTCATTGTGAGACCTATCCCAGGCTGTCTGTAGAAAGAGCACTTTGTGTATAAGTAGGGTAAAGGGGTCTAAATGTGGCATAACCTTGGTAAACTCATATGCTTTTAAAAAAGGCATAGGTGTAAGGGTTAATGACAATTTCACATCAATATCTGGCAGCATGCTATTTACAATAATGACGTATTATAAGAATCTGTATTTTAATTATAAGAAATAAAAATTGATGTTAGCAACATGTAGAAGCAAATTATGCTCTAATGATTTTCTAATAAAGTAATTTGCTCATAGATCACAGGGAATACAAGCAAAAACCTGTTAATTTTGAGCTCAAGTAATTATTTTTTAGCCTTTAAATATTAAGCAACTTGTATGAGGCTTCTCAAGGAGTGCACAACCATGGTTCCTGTCCCAACAAGTTTTTGGGGAGGGTGAAAGGGTTAAAGGCAGAACTTCAGAGATAATTAAATGCACTTAAAAGGAAAATGTGTACCTGTAAAGGATAGGTTATGTTTGTTTTTTCCCTGTGCCTAAGTCAGTTTTTTACCCGAGGCATATGTGATAAATTAAGAGTCCTGTGCAGATTCCTAAAATCCCAATATTTAAACAAGAAGAAGGGAGCACACAGCAGAATCTGTAGAACTTTCACAAAATCTACCCCACCACAACCTCAACTACAATCTAATTTAATCCCAGAGTAGGTAAATAGGAGAATTAAATCTAACGACACATATAAAAGTGCTTTGGCAATTACAGAGTAGTATGTAAATAGAAGTTATTAAGACACTTTTGACTGGAAAAGAGAAACTGTTTTCAATACTTAATTACATTTCCCTCTGTATTTCTAAAAGTAAGCCATCTTGCAATTTTATATTAAGAACTAGTGAATGATTGTATTTGCATACGGGCAGTAGCATAGAAATTATGTTCCTATTCAGTGGACCACCAATCAAGCAAAACAAATTGACAAATTAAGAACACTTGGGATGAACGTTGTGGCACTGAAGCCCTTGGCACATGTTTTTCTTCATTATTTTTCTTTGCCTTACGTGGGTCTGCTTCTAGAGTTTATTTTCAATTAAAAAAAAAATGATAAAGGAAGCAAAGCTAACAAGGCAGATGGCTTGTCAAATTAGAAACAGGAAGCTTTTCCAAAAACAGAATAAAGAATATGGAGACTTATGAGAACTAAATGTTCATTGCGGGCCTGTGGTGCCGTGCCTTTGGATGTAAAAATATGGCATCACCATAGTTCAGTCTTTAATTGTTCTTCCTTCTTAGTGGGTGGGAATGTTCATTGCACATCTTCCTACACTCTTAAGGAATTCTGGGCTTTTGCTCATAGTATCTCTCCGATTTTTCTGGAAGATGAACTCTTTAGCAGGCAAACACAGCTCACAAATTTACTCAAAGCTATGCCAATGGTATTAAGCAGGCCCAGCTCTTCACAGCATTGCTGCAGGACAGCGGAAAATGGATCTGGGTTCTAAAATCACCAATTTATGCACTAAATGGGTATTTCTATGAGAAAATTAATTTCTTTTAATCAATAAACAATAATAAAGACAATAAAACTACCTTGCTAAGTTTTATTCAGAATTGAACATTCTCAGGATTTGTTACTTACATAGAATTTAATACAGTAGCTCTCTCTATTGAGTCCTATGTGCCTCACCTTCCCTTATGTACTTTGTAATGTATTTCTCATTTAGTACCCCCAGACAACCCTATACCATAGGAAATATGATCTCTGTTCAAAACAGAGGCACTGGGACTCTGTGAAGTTCATGCTTAAGTTCTTATAGCTAAAAAGTTCAGGAGTCAGTGGGAAGGGCTTTTGTGATTCAGAGCATGCCTTGCTGATTACTGTAGTATGTAGCTAGTCCAAGGCCACAGGAAAGAAAAGCTCATTTTTTGTATTTTTCAGTCCTTGTGTGATGGAGAAATAAGAAAGTTGTCTCCATGGTCTTCTGCCGTGTTAAAATGTTTGACACCTAGAAAAGGAAAATGATGATTCCTTTAAGCAACATGAGATAAAGGAATATAAGAAAGGAAAAAGATTAAATGAAAGAACATCTTGGTTACTCTTAAGAACTAGATGTTTGTGTCATTCCAAAATTCAGTTGAAATTCTTATTCCCGTTATGATGGTATTGGAAGGTAAAGCCTTTGGAAGGGAATTTGGTTATGAGGATGGAGCCTTATAAATGGTACTGGGGATCCTTATAGAAAAGAGCAAGAGAGAAATGATCTCTCTTCACCATATGAAGATTCAACACCACCATTTTTAAACTAGAAAGAGACACCTCATGAGAAACTGGATCTGCTGATGCCTTGATCTTAGACTTCCCAGCCTCCAGAACTATGAAAAATAAATGCTCTTTAAGCCGCCCAGCTTATGGCATTCTATTTTAGCAGTCCAAATTGACTAAGATTGACTAAGTGTTATAAGATGAGGGACAATGTCCCTTAATTTATCAATCCTGAATTTTAAACAGGACCAGTCTTCAAATAGGTATCTGAATTATAAAATATGCTAGATGTTTACAAGAACTCCAAAAAACAGCTGCAAACTTTGCCTTTTAAAATCTGAAATTATAGACACTGGTCCTTCTAGAGAAACTTCTTGATTCAGACTGAGAAGGTTGAACCACATGAAGAATGACTAGAGATGAAAGATGATGTTAGGTGAGTGTTCTCTTCAGCAATTTTCCCTCTCCTTCACCTCCTTATCCACAGCACCCGGGTGTGAAGAATAAGCAAGAAGCTGACAGCATTTCCAAGTTTGGGAACATAGAGTCAGATTTTCTTTCCATTGTAGTCATGATTTGATGCTATTCTTTTTTATTATCTGCCTCCACCTCCCTTTTAAGGAGCCTCTGGCTTTCACCTCTTCTATCTTTCTCCTCTCTTTGATGTTGTTTCTATGCCAGCCCTTTGAGTATCATCTTCTTTTTTCTATTTCCTTTTCTCTGTTATCCTTTAGTGTATTCTTTCTCTATATAGACATCATTAAAAACATAGTCTGTATCTCAAGAAATTGTTTCAAGAATACAATATATCTAACCCTGTATTTGTTAGTTCTTGTCCTTTGAGAATCAGATATCAAGAATTAAACACGCAAAAGACCTATTATGGAAGATGCTAGGGAGAGAAAATGGAGAGGGAAACTGGGGAGACCTGGAAAGCCATCAGACCACCGTGGTGGAAGTCTCCTCCTGAGAGGAGAGAGGAGGTGAAGATGCTCCCAGTGAAAGCCTCTAGCCTGCAGTGTAGTTCTAAGGAAAGTTCAATAGGGGGAGGTCTTGAGCCAAAGTCACTCAATAGAGGAGTTCTACTACATGCTGTAGTATTCCTGACGCCATCAGGCACTGGCCAGGTGCAGCCGGTGGAAGCCATGGCCTCAGTCAGAGTGTGGAAATAAACTTCAGAATACAGAAGTGAAGGCCATCAGAAAATTATGCTTTGTGATTTATGAAGTGCATTCTCATGGCCACCGTACTCTTCTTAGGGATAAGGTCTAAGCAAGTGTGTGTGTGTGTGTGTGTGTGTGTGTGTGTGTGTGTGTGTGTGAAATATCCCTCCATTTTATTGATATAGACCTTACTTTTTGAAAAAAGGATTTGACACCTGTAAATAAAATAGATCTGTGGGCCATTTGCCAAATTAGAGACCTGCTCTAAGAATTACTTTCAGATCCACTTTCGCTAAGATGGTGAAAGTTAAACATATTTTCAGCAGGAAAATAGTTATTTAACAAGCTATGGTAAGACATTTGTGCATATTCCAATAAATGTTAGCAGCCATCACTGCTGCTCTTATATTTTCATCTAAAGAGACATTTACCTCATTGACAAATTTCTTTTAAAATATGTATTAGTACAATTACCATAGAAGCCAGAAAACACAATAGTTGGTAAAAGTTGTCTTTTAAGTAAATGTTGATTTTATATAGCTTTATAAAATCAACTAAGAGAAAAAAACAAAAACTGAGAAATGTCAAATATCTGGCCAACCCATGGTTTAGCCATGTCAACACATATAAAATTAACCATATACAAGCCTTCCAGGTTTCCTAGCTCTGGTAGCAGGAATAATTAACTGGTTGATGTAAGGTACACTCTGATTCTATGTAACAGTGAAAATAGGTCGCAGAAGTTGGATCAAGCACCTCATAAAAAGCTTTTGGAGACATATACCCTCTTCTTAAACTTAACTTCTTACCTTGCTGAAATTTAAAGGGCATTTTTCTATTGGCCTTTCTATGCAATATTTTTATTGAGGCATAGCCATCCATGCAGGACATTACACAAATCTTAGGTGATAACTGAATATTTGTATTCATGTAGCCATCATCTAAAGCAATATATAGATAATTTTAAACATTCCAGAAGACTTCTTCTGTTTCTCTTTTCAGTTTGTATACCCCAGAGAAAAAAACAACTCTGACTTCTATCACTGAAGATTAGTTTTGCTTTTTCTGAATGTAAGAGAAATCATACAAAATTTTCTCTATTAATGTCTGGCTTCCTTCATGTTATGTCTGAAACTGTAACAGAACTGTGATTACCTCCATGAGTGATATAACAAATTAGCTTGTCATGGTTTTATATACACGCACTGACAAAAGAAAACAAAGCTCTGTGTAAGAGACACAGACTGTTTATTACCTACAGGAAAACAGTAGCCAAAGCAGCATCTCAGCAGCAGTTTCCCATTCTCCAATCCCCACAAGCTGATGCAGTGAGAGCCAGATGCTTACCTACATATGCATTGGCCTTGCATCATGAGGGAGGAGCCCCAAAATCATGAGACTTGCAACTAATACATATTGGCTAACACATCTGTCACTCTCCTTCCCAGAGAGAAAGACCTTTACTCTGCAATTTAAACATGTCTTTTCCTGGGAAAGAAGAAGATAAGATACTAACCTGTAATGTGAACAAATATCTCTGAAAGAGAGGAAAGAGACTTGGTTAATTTGCATGACTCTAGGGGTTTGTTTCCTTAGGGAGACACCATCTCTAGCTTCTAGGGCATGTTTGCAAAACCATCTCCTTTACTCAGAATGCCTAGATCATGCATACATGCTGAGATAACCAAGGAGATTGTTTCCCAGCCTCATCATTTGTTCTTAAGATTAACACGTGTTTGTATATTGCAGTCATTTTTTCTTTTCTTACTGGTGCCTACTACTATTGAAATCTATTTATTTAGAAATTAGTTGTTGAGTACTCTCCATATACTCAGACATGATATTTGGTACTGAGGTGACAATAAGAAAAAGACTGATGTCTCTATATTTATGAATCATGGCATCTAGTGCAAATTTTAATAGGTAAGTTCCATAGATCTCTTAGTAGTCTATGTTTGGTGTTCAGGCAGCTCATGATTCTTTGAAAATTCTATGTAAAATTTTGTGTCGTGTTATATACATCCTTCTGGAGAGAGGAATAATTGCTTTTGTCAAATATATAAAGATGTCTGTAACTCAAAAGACTAGGAATTACCAGTACGATAATTCCATCTCAGCGAGATCTCAACAGACTTTCTTTAGTCTTGTTTCTTCCACCTTATTCCAGACCCCAAGTGTGATAATTAATTTTATGTGTCAACTTGACTGAGCTAAGGAATACCCAGAGAGATGGTAAGACATTATATCTAAAGGCGTTTATGCAGAGAGATTAGCATTTGAATCATAGCCTGAGTCAAGAAGATCCACCCTCACCAATATGTGCAGGCATCATCCAATTCACTGAGGACCTGAACAGGACGTAAAGAGAGGAAGGGTGAATTCCCTCTCTCTCTTCTTGAACTTGAACATCCGTCTTCTCCTTCTCCTGGACATGGGAGCTCCCAGCTCTGGGGCCTTCAGAGTCTGGGACTCATACCAACAGTTCCCCCAGCCCCTTCTCAGGCTTTCGGAGTGCGATTGAATCGTATCACCAGCTTTCTGGTTTTCTAGCTTGCAGATGGCAGTTGCTGGGATTTCTCATCCCCCATGATTTCTGGTGAGCCAGTTCACTGTCTGTCTGTCTATCTATCTATCTACCTACCTACCTACCTACCTACCTACCTACCTATCTATGTACCTACCTACCTACCTATTTACCTACCTTATTGGTTCTGTTTCTCTGGAGAACCCTGAGTAATACACCAAGCCTATAGTTTCCCTCCCTTGTTCCTATTATCTACCTTCTCTCCTGAACAGTGGAATTTCCCAGGAAAATGTGGAAAGAATGATTGAAAAAGGAGGCGGGTAAGAGTGATCACTAAACAGCACCCCAGATGAATAATTTTACAATTTTTCTGACTCCTTTTTATTATTTTTTCCTTTTTTTCCCCTTGGACTCTGCTGCTAGGGAAATCTGGCTTCTTTTCAGCATCTTGGTTAAGAAACACTAGTATAAACACTCAAGACTAATAAACAGTAATAAAAAAACACTCAAGGCCCACATTAACACTATAATGTTGCCAAGACTTAATCCAGAAAAAACCCTATTGTCACAAAATGCTCAGAACTGCCTTCCTTAGCAGGACCCACTTACAGCAAATCTTCCTAAACTTAATACTCACCTGCCTGTGTTCAATTTCTTCCCACCCAGCATTAAAAATAAATTTAACAAATTGACTCTCTTCATCACTTGAATTTTTGCCTTTTTGGAATATTTGCATTTTAACAGGGGTATGCATGAAAAATAAGTCTTTGCTCGAGGGAATGTATTACTAACGTTAAAATGTTAGACATTTGTTATAGTCTAGTTGAAGAGGGATTTAAAGATGAGTGAGTTTTTCTGTCACACTGTCACGTAGCAGTGCTGAAATCATATGCTGTCATTGTCTCCTTATGTATCCTTCATAATATCCTCTTTCCTTGTTGAAAATGTTGCTTTTGGGAACAAAATGTCTGCATAGTCACAATATGATGTATTAGAAAGAGCACCTAACTAGACCTCAAAGAACTAGTCCAAATCATGGCTCTGCCAATCAGTCTGGCATGACATTGGTCCTGTCAATTACTGTTATAGAGATCCAGTCTGGTTATTGGTAATAATGAGATAATTATGCCTGTGATAAAACTTTACTAGCTGAAATGTGTTTTGCAAGCAGATATCAATGTCACCATTATACCACAATCACACCACTGACCTTAATCTGGACCTTATCTGCTTGTGATAAAGATAATTCTTAAAAGTTTAGAATGACGATGCTTTCAAAATAAAAATATCAAGATGTGGTCCTGTTGGACTTTGGGTACTAGTTGAAGCATTGAAGGAAAGAGGGGAGAAAAAGAAGAGTTGAGGACAAGAGATTCTGCTGACTTGTCAATGTGCCGTAGTTAGTTTTCTAGAAGAAACATTATTGTTACAGGTACCTCTGCAGTGTAGAACTCCTAAGTATAAAGTTTTGGTGCTGCTGTAAATCAAGAGCATGTTGCGTACCAATTTAGAGATCACTTCAAGTGTCTCTTCATTAGTCAATGGAACGAGAAAGATCAACCATTCAGTCACCGAGATATTTGAAGTGACTTAATAGTGCTGGTCTTCTAGGCATGTTGGTGATAGCAACTTGATGGAATGATGAGTGTGTTTCACATGGTAATCTATGTCCTAATAAATTTAAGAGTGTTAAAAGAAAGCAAACATCTTCACTGCTTGTAGAAAGCAGGATACAATATTTCATAGACAGCATTAACATTGAACAATGCCTTAGCTATTGGAACCCCATTGTTTCCAAATTTATACTAACACCTGTTAAATAGTAGAAAACAACACAGAACAGTAATTAGTCATATTCTTTGGCTTAGAATATTGCCAGTTAGGTCAATTGCTGTTGTAGTCACATCTTTGTCTAGAAGAACTGCATTTTTAACTGACTACTTCAAAGTTTTCAGCTGAGAATTTTTCTCAGTGAAGAATGTCTCCTATATTTCTAGATGTGAATGAAAATAGTAGCATGTCAGCTACTCTTTACAAAGACAGAACAAATACAGAATCCAAAAGTGGCATACTTAATAGAAGGAATTAGAAAGACAATATTCTTGCATTTGGAAAGACAAGAGACATAGAGATAGAGAAGAACATAACTAACTTGTTCCTTTCTTTTCCCTTCCATTTCTACCAAATCATGTCCAATTTGGAAATAAAAAGTGAAAAAGAGATATGCCATTTTTTATACTTAATACTCCATTGTAAGTGAGCAGCAAACAATTAGAGAATGTAATAAATGTCTTTTGGTACTTGAGGAACAAAAATGGAAGTACAGAGTTCAGTGTTTTCAAAAACACTAAACTATAGCTTTATATTTTCTTGGCCATGATCACATCATTTTTTGGCTCCAAAGGTGATCTAGTTTATTATTCCTCCACCTTAACATTCTTACAGTTAGGTTTGAAATTCTCACATGTCAACATCACAAGAGAAAAATGAAGTATATATTAGAATACAAAGGCTAACAGAAGACCATTACTCAGTAATATACTACTTTGAAAAGAACTAGTACGTTAATATGCTCTTAGATGTGACTAAGAGATGTTCATTTTAGATATATAAAAACCTCTAGCTGGTGGGCTTTCTAACCCTCCCTTCATACCTGTAACCCATAAAGTTGATTTATAGATTATTTATTTATACGTTATTTATTTTCTGGCTTTTAAGAAATAAGTGTTGTAAGAGAAGAAGTAAAAATTATCATGGTTCATACAATGGTTTACTAAAATTCCAAAATAATTCATTAGTACCATTCTATTCTATAAATATTAACTACATTTTGTTTGTAGGGGAATTGGGAAAGTCTCACCTGGGATTCAAATTGTGCTTCCTCTTCTAGCCTCTACTACTGTGCATAAAACTTGAAGAGTCGGAGAATATGTTCACCAGCCCAGAAGATGTATGTACGCGGGGATTTTTGAGGTATGTTGTAATCAGGTCAAGCTGATGAATGTTCTTGGTTGGGAGAATCTAGTTTGCAGGTTCATAAAATGTATAGAACAAGTTTTGTTTTAGTATCTGAAGATTTCCAAAATTTTATGGGATGCCATTTCCAAAAAATTAACATTTATGTAATTTTAAAAATTATTTGCTTCTTATAATATCATTAAGATAAATAACTCCTAGAGCATTTGTTCTTAACTTCCGATCCTCTCTTCTATAAGTCATACATATAGAAACATAGAAATGTAAAAATTCCATAGATCCTCTGAAACTTATTCTTGGTTCAATAGATTCATGGTCCCTGGGTTAAAAACCATCATCCTGAAGAAACTGGAGTTGTATCTGCTTAAATATATTAGTATCACTCCTTAGATGGAGCAGGGACTTGGTAAGCCCTTCTTAAAACCTTTTGAAGAAAATAGAAGATATAATATTTTCTATTCTCTTCCCTAACGTCACATTTACTATAACACTCAGACCCAATAAGGTTAGAAGTTGCCACTTCAAACATTCTTGCCTTTCATTGCCTTGACTACAAGGAAAAAGTCAGGACAGCAAAGTTTCTATTTCAGCATTTCATGAATCTGTTCATTATATGACCTCAGAAAATTACATTACACTCTTCTCCCTTGTATTTTGTTTGTGACACTGGGTTAGCTAATAAAGGGGACTCAATGAACTTTATATGGTTTTGCAAAACAGAGACAAATATTTTGTTTGCTCTTTTTATAAAAATTTTTATTTACCTCTCCCTCCCTCTCTCTTTCTCTTGGCACACAAAAGGCTGTTGGACATTACTAAAATTCTGTAATATAGTAATAAAATGCTCTTCATGAGAGGCAAATAAATGCTTAGTATTTCCACTAAAACAAATAGAATCACATGAGTTTTATAACATGGTTTTAGCTTCAGATACCACATCAAAATTCACTTGCCTGCCCAACCTCAGCTGTCATAATTTTATTCCCCTTGTTACTTTGTCATTGAATTAGTCTGATTTTAAATCAAACGAAAAGCATTTTTTAAAATGAGAACTATAAAGAAAGGTTGTGTAACTCAGATTTTTCTGACTAAAAAAAAATTATATACAAATTCGCCTCTATAAATGAAAAGCTATGGAAGTAATCATTTTCATCTCTGATTGACTCTAATATTTTTGTCTTTAATATGGTAAACATCCAAACTAGACAAAAGAAAAGGACATTTTATTTTCACAATGAAACTTGGGCACGATATTAAGATGTTCTGGGACTATCTGTATGCCAAAGTTTGTCTTTTTATTCAATAGCTTACAAATTGAGTATTTAAAAAATTTGTCTTGAGGAAAATATTAAACATATACAGATGTGGACGGAATAGTATGATTCTGTGACCAGACTTTAAACTGATTTTGAATTCACTGGTTGAGTTATACTATTTTAGGAAAAGAGTAGATAGTTACTGCTTTATTTCCTTTCCATTCACATTTCTTCTCCTACCTTATTAGAACTGAAGCTAAGTAAATGCCTTTTGTGTAAAATTAATAGTTGCTTATTTGGAAAAAAATCAAGCAGTTCAAAAAGTATAAAGAAAATATGTTCCTTAAAACACAGGAATTTTCACCACCTCCAAATTACCGTATTATTTGCTGAGCACCATTTCATACACCTTCTTACAGAGAGATCGATAGGTAATGGAGCAAAAAGTATTATCTAAAACAGCATGGTACTGATACAAAAACAGACGTGTAGAGCAGTGGAAATAGATAGAGATCCCCAAAATAAAGCCACACGCCTATAACCACCTGATCTTCTACAAAGTTGACAATAACAAACAATGGGGAAAGGACTCCCTGTTCAATAAATGATACTGAGATAACTGGCTATTCACATAGGGAAGACAGAAACTAGACCACTTCTTCTTACCATATACAAAAATTAACTCAAGATTGATTAATGATTTAAACATAAAACTGAAAACTATAAAAACTCTAGAAGAAAACCTAGGAAACACCATTCTGAATATCAGCCTTGGCAAAAATTTATTACTAAATTCCCAAAAGCAATTGCAACAAAAACAGAAATTGACAAATGGGATCTAATTGAACTAAAGAGCTTCTGCAGAGCAAAAGAAACTATCAACAGATTAAATAGACAACCTACAGAATGAGAGAAAATTTTTGCAAACTGTATATACAACAAAGGTCTAATATCCTTTATAAGAAACTTAAATCAGCAGGCAAAAAACAAAGAGCCCATTAAAAATGGGCAAAGTATGTGGACAGACACTTTTTGAAACAAGACAGACATATGGCCCACAAAAATATGAAACGTTCTCATCACTAGTAATCATTAAAGAAATACACATACAAATCACAATGACACTTTGGGAGGACAAGGTGGGCAGATCATGAGGTCAAGAGATTGAGACCATCCTGGCCAACATGGTGAAACCCCATCTCTACTAAAAACACACACACAAAAAAAATTAGCTGGGTGTGGTGGTGCGTGTCTATAATCCCAGCTACTTGGGAGGCTAAGGCAGGAGAATGGCTTGAACCCAGGAGGCAGAGGTTGCAGTGAACCAAGGTTGCACCACTACACTCCAGCCTGGGCAACAGAACGAGACTCTGTCTCAAACACGCGCACACACACACACACACACACACACACACACACACACACACAAAATGAGACACCATTTAACACCAGTAAGAATAGCTAGTAATAAAAAGTCAGAAAGTAACAGATGCTGGTGAGGTTACAGAGGAGATGAAACACTTACGTGCTGCTGGTGGGAATGTAAATTAGTCCAGCAACTGAAGAAAATAATATAATTTCTCAAATAATGTAAAACAAAACTACCATTTGACCCAGCAATCCCATTACTGGTTATATACAAAATCAGTCTACCAAAAAGATACATGCACTTGTATGTTCATCACAATGCTATTCACAATATCAAAAACATGAAATCAACTAAGATGCCTACCAACAATGGACTGGATAAAGAAAATGTGGTACATACACACTACGGAACACCATGCAGCCATAAAAAAAATGGAAGCATGTCCTTTGCAGCAACATGGATGCAGATGGAGGCCATTATCCCAAACAAACACACGTAGGAACAGAAAACCAAAAAGCACATATTCTCACTTATAAGTGAGAGATAAACATGGAATACACATACAGATGAGAATAATAGACCCTGGGAACTGATTGAGTGTGGAGAGTGGGAGGAGATGTGGGTCTGAAGGTTACCTTTTGGGTACTATACTCACCACTTTGGCAATAAAATCATTCATACATCAAGCCTCAGTGATATGCAATGTACTCATGTAACAAACCTGCACATATACTCCAGAACCCAAAATGAAAAATGTTGTACAGTATTATACTATATTTACTATTTAAAATAAAAATTGTAGAATTCAAATAAAAAGAAACTGAGTAAAACTGAAATAATGGTTTCTTCAAGAGAAATTCAATCCTTTAAAAATCTTTACATTTTAATATAAATGGACTTATACAAAATAACTTTTCTGTTTTAAATTGTATCTATTTTTATTTTGATTTGAAACCATAATTCCATGCTTAAATCGATTCAGTATTTACAGCCAGTCTTTTTACCATGTCTTCTTCGTATATAAGTTTTTGGTTTTTGTTTTGAGATAGTATCTCACTCAGTCACCCAGGCTGGAGGGCAGTGATGTGATAATGGCTCACTCTAGCCTTGAACTCCTGGGTTCAAGCAATCCTCCAGCCTCAGCCTTTTAAATAGCTAAGACTAAAGGCACACACGACCATGCCTAGCTAACTAGAAAGAAAAAAAAAATTGTAGGGACAGAGTCTCGCCATGTTGCCCGTGCTGGTCTCAAACTCCTGGGCTCAAGCTGTCCTCTTGCCTCAGCCTCCCAAAGTGCTGGAAGTACAGGTGTGAGCCCCCATGTCTGTCCATAATTGGATTTTTATTATCCTTCATTTCTTGGCTGACTGGTGTCTATTCTACTAAAGAGTACTTTGGTCTCTAAGTGGTTAACAAAGTTGCTGACTTCATGGAAATGTGTGTTGTGTTTTATTTAGAGTAGATGGTATAAACTATTGGGTCCCTCATTCGGGACTTTTCAGATATTATTTACTGTCTTCAATAATTGAATGTCGTCTTAGAGACATCTGTAGCCAACCAAATTTTCCCATTTGTCCACTATTTGCCTTTCTTGTCCCATGCTCATTGTCTTTGTCAGTTTATGCTGCTGTAGCAAAAATACCACACAATGATTGGCTTAAACAACAGAGATTTATTTCTCACCATCTGGAGTATAAAAAGTCCAAGATTAAGACGCCAAAGGATCCTGGTGGGTATCAAGTGAGGGCCCTTTTCTCGGTTGCTGATGGTCTTCTTACCCTGGTACGTTTGATGAGGGAGAGCAGAGAAAGATAAAACAAGTACCCACTCGTGTGTCCTCTCCTGGCTCCTTGTCTTTTTATAAGGGCACTAACCCCATTCATAGGACTCCAGCTCCATGACTTAATTGCTTCCCAAAGGTCCCACCTCCTCATATCATCACACTGGGGATTAGGGTTTCAGTGTGTACATTTCAGAAGGGACACATTCAGACCATAGCATTCACATTATGTTTTTCTGCATTGTTGAAATACAGTAACTTTCACAAAATATCTCAGATGATTCAGTCTCAAATTTTCAGAGTGTACTTTTCATTTGCAGATTTGAGTTTGTTCTGATTTCCGTGATATTTTCACTTGTGATATTGCTTTATAATTTTAATTGCTCCATTTTTTTCCATACTCTTCTTCAGAGATACCGGTTATGTATAGACAGCATCTCTTTTTCTTTCATAGGTATCAACTTCCAAGCAATCGTTCTTGTTTCCATTTGTCATTTTTTTCCTAATATGATTTTCACATGATTGAATTTTCTCTTATATCTCCTCTGAATTATGGTAGGTCAATTGTTTTCTTCATCCATTGCCTTATAATTTCTTCTTTGAAGCCTTACATCTACCCTGAGATCTTTTCAGAGATCTTTCCTTTGAGACCTAACAGGCTGAATGCTTCTGTGATATAGGAATATTTGTTGCAGTATTTGGTAGGTGTGCTTATAGTTCGAAGTTGTGAAAACTTCCTTATTTCATTGGAGGTGAAAAGCTTTTTTTCTCAATTTGTTCTCAGTAGAAGTGGCTTCCTTTCCCTGGGAGTGATCAAAAGCTTAGAACAGACTGTTTGTAGGAACTAAGAACACTGGATCATTTTTTCAATTCTTCCAACCACCTCTGCCCAAGAAAACTTGGGGTAGAGGAGGATAGAATGATCTGTCCTGATATTAGAGATATGACTACAGCATAAAACACAATAAATACGGTTGTAAAGAGCTTCTTCTCTGCCCACACAAGAAGAAAAATACGGAGTTAGGAGATTGACTATATGTCCAAAAGACTGGGCTGCTTTTATCATGTTGTACCCTGTATAAAATAAACTTTTGTTATAGATTTAAAATATGAGCAACACACTTTGGAGGTACTAGTTCTGTTCAAATTTTTTTAAGATAGCTAGAAACCTCTCAAGGTGTTCACATCAGAAATAAGAATAAAGTCTAGCTGGAAACGTTGACCAGATTATAACTTTCTCAAGGAACCATAGTTTATTTAAATAATAAGCTAACTTTGTATTTTTAGTACATTACACAGTGTCTGGAAAATAGAAGCTGCTTAATAGTAACAAGAATAATAAATAATATGGCTAATAGGTTATTAATCTTGTTACTGCATACTGGGGCCAGATGCTATGCCAATCACTTGATATGCATTATTACATTTTAATTCTCACACAAAATGAACAACTTATTTGCTCTTCCTGAATTCCTGATATGGAAACTGAGTCTCAGAAAGTAAATAACCAAAATTACACTACTGTTTAATAGATATAGCCAAGATTGAACCAATGCTATCTTACCCTAGAGTTCATGTGTTTAACCACCATGAATGGAAAAAAGGAGAAAGGGAAGGTCAGAAGAAAGGAAGCTACAGTGAGACTAATGATTGACATAAGCAAGAATTTTAAGGTTCTAAACCATTGTGGTATGAAAAAAAGAAGGGATGATCTTTGAGCAGCAATGGAAAAGCACAGATTTTCTGTGGAGGCTCTGGCACTAGGGGTACAGGGAGCGTGAAGCACACACAAAAAGTCAACACAAAAAAAAGTTGATTAGAAATTAATGCCGGCCTGGCAATGGTGAGCAGGCAATTATGAACAGGGCAGAGTAGAAACTGATATGGGGTGAATAGTTGCCTTTAAATTGTTCAGGGTTTTTAATTAATCCCTGCCTTCTAAACTACCATTATCTTTTCTTTTAAGCACGTAAATAGGGACATATCAATTGACTGATGGATTGATTGAAAGTTTTATCAAGATACAATTGATATACAAAAACTGCACATATTTAATGTATAGAATTTGATAAGTTTGAACATATGAATACACCTGTTTCTGTTAACACAATCAAGGTAATAAACGAATTCAAAAGTTTTCTCATGTTCCTGGGTTATTTTTGTTGTTTTTTTTTGTTTGAGTTTTTTTCTTTACAGTAAATATACTTAACATGGGATCTACCCTCTGAAAAAAATTTTTAAGTCCACAATTCAGTATGGTGACGTGTACTTCAAGATTGTATGGCAGACCTCTAGAACTTATTCATCTTGGATATCTGAAACTTTACACCTATTGAGCAATTCTCCATTTCCCATCAGCCCCTGGCACCTACCATTCTACTCTCTGCTTCTATGAGTTGAACTATTTTCGCCCACATGAAATGAGATACATACAGACAATGGGATGTTATGTGGCCTTAATAAGGAAGGAATTCCTGTCATATGTGACAACATGGATGAATCTGGAAGACACGCTTGTGAAACAAGCCAGTCACAGAAGGACCAATCATTTCCTTGGACACCTAGAAAAAGTATAAACATGGGAAGAATAAAAATAGTACTCCATATGGACCAAAATAACTCTTAGGACTCAGTCATATTGATGCACCAAGAATAGCTGCATCGGGCCTGAAGTTGGTGGGATGCAAGTTTGATGAGAAGGAAGATCAAAGACCTCATAGTTTGTTCCTCAGTTAATTTTCTATATAGCTTCAAATTAGGATGCACATGTACAAGTGTGTGTCTGTGTATGTATCTGCAAAACCATAAAATAGTCTACACTAGTAAAATATAAGCCAACAATAGTTAATATCCTCTATCTAGCCT